TATTTTTTTAAATGTACATATATGGAAGTACACAACAACATAACCAATAGGGAAAAAGCTGAAAAACAACATAAATGCCCATACAATACAATGTTACATACTTTTTAGCAATAATAAAAGAAATATCTAAGTTCTGAAATAAAGCAATATCCAATACATGTAATACATATAAAGAATCTGAATCAGTCCTGGGACATAATAATATAAGTTAGTGTTATGCATGTGTGAATAGTTAGGGGAAAAAAACCTGGAAATATATACTGTTAACATGGGCCTTCAGTACATGCTCAACATCTGAGGAAGGATGAAAAGGAAGAAGCAGTCAGGTTTACTTTTGCTAACACAGTCTCACATAAGTTTTCATTGCCCACATTTCAGTATTATTTGATTTTTTAATAATCAATATTTTCAGTGGTTAGAATTACATGGTCCTTACTTCAAGAAATAAAAAACATTAAAGGAAGTGAAAGTCTCTTCTGATCCCATTCTTCAGAAATAATCTTTGTGAGCACAAAGTCTATAACCATATAAAATTTTTGACTTGTATATTAAAATGTACATACTGATACATTTTTTTTTAAGACGGGGTCTTGCTCTGTCGCCAGGCTGGAGTGCAGTGGCGCGATCTCAGCTCACTGCAACCTCCACCTCCCGGTTCGAGCAATTCCCCTGCCTCAGCCTCCCAAGTGCCTGGAACTACAGGCACATGCCACCATGCCAGGCTGATTTTTTGTGTTTTTAGTAGAGAAGGGGTTTCACCATGTTGGCCAGGATGGTCTTGATCTCCTGACCTTGTGATCCACCAGCCTCGGCCTCCCAAAGTGCTAGGATGACAGGAGTGAGCCACTGCACCCGGCCCATAGTGATACATTTTATTACAAAAGTGAGGTACTAAAAGCCAAAATGGCTACTTCAATTAATGAATGAGAAGAATTTATTACTTGGAATTAAGTTCTAGAAGAACAGATTTGAAAGATAATTAGTAACAGTTTTTATGAGATAATACCAATTAATTGGTCATAGCTTTCTAGAATGTTACATCAAAAAAAAAAAATCCTAAAGCAGATCTAGGTTCATTAAGAAAATAATCAATTATTGTTGATAGTGGCCATGAAGAAGCAGGGATGCATAAGCTATGCTGACATGAATTAAATTCTTTAAATTCAATGATGGTCTTCTGTGGGACAAGAAGACAACCAAATCCTTCAGTTTTTCACTTTTAGTTAGGAGACAGACTTTCTACAGAAATACCTTCAGAAAGAGAACTCACTTCTTCCAGGTCTTAACTTTCAAAGTATTACACAATCCAGCAACATTCAACAAATATTTATTAATACCTTATATAAAGCACTCTGTGAGGCACTGAATACATAAAAACAGTCTACAAATATAGCAAACAAGAGGCAAACGAGCAATTAAAGAACATTAAGTCCTATGGAAACACACGTTACTGACAGTGGATAAGGAGCAAGAGGCAGTAGAAGGACATGAATATTCTAGGAGAGGAAATAACAAATGCAGATCTGAAAGCAGAAAGATGGATCTTTGGAGGAAATGAAAGAAATGCAGTACAACTATCACAAGGGAATGTTGTGATGACTAGTGGAGGGGACAGGGTAAGGATGGCAGAACGTGATGCTGGAAAAATACACAGGAAGTGATTCAGTTCACAAACAATTTACAGAACCTTGTATGCCGCAGCTCTGCTAAATTAACTGATTAATTCTAACAATTTGTTGGTTCCATTGCATTTTCTATGTACACAATTATGTTATTGATGAATGAAGACACTTTCACATCCTTCTTTCTAATCTTTATGTCTTTTCTTTTTTTTTCTTGCCTTATTGTAATGGCTAGGAACTGCAATAAATAGAAGTGGTAATAGAAGTCATCCCAAACTCAGTAGGAAAGCATTCACTATATCACCACTGAGTATGACACTCGCTATAGATTTTTTAAAAGAAAACCTTTATCATATTCAGAAAGGTTTTTTTTCTATTTCTAGTTTGCTAAAACTTTTTATCATAAATAGCTACTGAGTTTCGGCAAAGGTTTTTTTCTACTTCCATTGAGATGATCATACAGGTTTTCTTCTTCACTCTAATACAGATTACATTGATTAATTTTTTTTCTTTCTTTTTTTTTTTTTTGAGACGGAGTCCTGAACTGTCACCCAGACTGGAGTGCAATGGCACAATCTCAGCTCACTGCCACCTCCACCTCCTGGGTTCAAGTGATTCTCCTGCCTCAGCCTCCAGAGTAGCTGTGATTACAGGCACCCGTCACCACGGCTGGCTAATTTTTTGTATTTTTAGTACAGACAGGGTTTCACTATGTTTGCAAGGCTAGTCTCAAACTCCTGACCTCATAATCCACCCACCGCAGCCTCCCAAAGTGCTAGAATTACAGGCATGGCCACAGCACTCGGCCCATTAATGTTCAAATGTTAGCCAACGTTGAATTCCTGGAATAAATCTTACTTTGTCCTGATGTGTAATTCTTTTTATATATCATTGGATTCTATTTGATACCTACTTATATATAAAGTATACCAAAAAGAAGAATGGAAGGGAAAGAAGGAGGGATGAAGGTGTTGGATATGACAAGTATATGATAAGAAAAATAAAACAGTAGAAAAGAATTATTCAATAAAAGTATTAGTAAGACACATTGGAACTATCTCTAAAAAAGAACAAGCAATTAATTATTTAAAATTAAGCAGTACAAGGGATTTAACATCCAGATAATACAAGTATAGAAAGAGTAAACAATGAAAGCTTAATGGAAAAAAACAACAACAAAGAATTGAAGCAATTCCGTCAAAACACCAGACTTGCATTTCCACATTAAAAGGGTCCAGGAAAACGTATGAATCAAGACACAAGGCTACAAAGTTTCAGAACATCAGGAACAAAGCCAACACTGTACGAATTTCCAGAAAGTAAAACAAGCTACAAAGAAAAAGGTATCAAAATGGCCTCAGACTTTTCAACCTATGTTACACCGATGCCTTCAAAATTCTGAAGTAACATTCTTATAAACATGTATTTGTTATCCAGCCAAATAATCGATCAAGAGTGAAGGAAGAATGAAGGCAGACAATATCTCCCACACATCCTTTTTCAGAAAGCCACATATTCCACCATAACAAATTAGAGCAAAATGGGTAAAAGAGAAAAGTGGGTATTACTCTTTTTCATTAAAAGTTTTATGTGATCATTTACATGGATAACTTTGGGGGGAAAAAAATCTAAAACAGTGGTCCAAAGGTAGTGAGTTATCTCAATTGATTGTTTACAGTCAGTTACAGATGGAATTCCTTGTTCTACTTCCCCCCCTTCTCACTACTGCACTTGACCAGTCTTTTTTAAAAATCTAAAAAATTAATACAAAAGCTACATAAGTAATTTGTTCAAATCATAACAGAAAACTTACCCATGTAAAATTATATTTTAAATCTAACAATATATTTTTAAATAAGTACATTATAGTGAAGGAAGAAATCTTTTTTAAAAGAGGAAAGTAAATTAAATCTTCTAAATAAAATATTAGCAATATTAGATATTTTCATGACATATTTCTCCTTAAAGTTGAGAAAAGATGAATATTGATTATAAGCGTAAACAAAACAACTTCATAAATAACATGAAGAGGGAAAAATCTTCGTCTGTGAATTACACACAAAGAAACAGAGCCAAGTCCTTTAGTAATAAAGTCCTCCTTGATTCCAACTATCCAAAAAGAAAGCCGGCTATTCCAAAAACCTTCTAGAAAAGGATGGTCCAGAATCATCACTGTCAAAATATTTCACCAAAGTATAAATGCAACAAAAAAACAGAACAAGAGAGTGACAGAGCATGAGAGAGTGAGAGAGATCTCGATGAATTGTGTGAGAAAGAAACAGAGACAGCTAAAGAGCTGAAATCAGAATATGCCATAGGTGAATGGCAAAGGAGAAAATCTACACATGACTGCAAGATACTGTTGCCTTGTTTCCTCCACCCTGCTCACTTCATTTAGGCAGATTTAGTCGCCAAATTAATCCCTAAATTATTTACGTACAGTCACATGTCGTAAGTTTCCCAAAACATCATTCTCACAAATTTAGAGGATTAACTGCTACAAGAAGTCTTATAAGATTTTTTTTTACTTCAGGATAACTTTTTAAAATATAATAGAATCAATATATTTTAATGTCCTCTTTTTAAAAGGATTTTAAAGTATCCAAACATGATTATTATGATTACGTGTTTAGTGCACAGGCAAAAACATTCTTGAGTGAACACAGGAAAGATAAGAAAATATTGCCCTTGGAAAACTCAGAGTTTTCAGGAGTAAGGAGTTACTTAGTCATCTAAACAGCATATTTAATACAAACACATATCTGAATTCTTTTAATATAAAACATATATACTATTTAAACACAATATTAAGAAGTATTCTCTATTAAAGCAGAATTACAAGCTTAAAAGCCCAAAACTCCACTTCTGACACAGCTGCAGATGCAGAGAACACAGTCATCTACAACCCAGATAAAAGTGAAAACCAAGCTCTCCACGGCATAAGTATAACTGAGAAGGAGGGCAAAGGCATGAGAACAACAGAGACTTCAGGAATACCCACAGAAGAAAGCTAAGCCAGAAACATAACAAAGGCGGCACAGTCAGCCAGGAAGGGATCTGGGAAGAAGGATGCCATGAAAACCAAGAGAGAAAAGGACTTCAAGAAAGAGCCAGCAAAGGCAGAGGCTAAAGTGAGATCAAAGAGGATGAAGATAAATCAAAACCACAGCAGAAAGTGAATGGCCATATTGAATTGGTTAAGATTACCTATTTCCATCTCAACTGACAGAACTAAGTTTATCTTTGGGGGAGGTGGGGAAGGGGAATGGACACTTGGAGGAAAACAGACTTTAGTTATCATTCTTGCTGTTTGTAGCCCAAGACCAACAAAAGAGGAACTCTTTTCTGAATGATTTTTTTCTTAAGGAGTACACTCACCAAACTGTGGAGCAGGCAAGATTCTAGCTGCTCGAATTGGGCCATGTCGAACAGAGAAGAGCTCCTGTGCTTCCCCACTGATCTGCATAAGAGAAGAAAGAAAATATTTCAGTGGGAAAATGCAGGTCACAACAGTATTATATAGAAACAAGATCTTCTAAATTTTATAACAATATTTTGTCTGAAATATATATACATACATATACACATACACCCACACACATTTATTGTTGATCATACACATTAAGTATATTCACATCTTAAATTACTGCAAATAATTTTAGAAAACTGTAAGAACATACACTTGATATGAACAGAAGAAAAAAGGTCTGTTCTGGAAGTCTATAATTTTTATCTTATTAAACCATTAGAAATTTGTACAGTTCCTGCACAACTGCTTTCTCTTTGAGAACCAAACTTTAACACTACTATGAAAATCTCAAATATTGTAGCAACTTTAACAAATATATTGTAAATGAGAAAAAGCAATACATACTGCAAAGAAGACTTAAGTGAAATATGAATAACTTAGGTATACTTATGGTTAGGCAACTAATTGTCCGTTAACCTTGAGTAAATCATTTAACCTCAGTAAGCCTATATTCTTTGGCAATCATAAAATGAAAAGAAAAACCTGCTAAAAAGGCCTCCAGGAAACTTCTAATTTCAATATTCCGTGAACAAAAAATTGTGTATATAACTTTAAAAGTCATCATTTTATTAGACACATAAATATACATATAGCTTAAACACTGTATGAATATCCAAGTATTTTGAGTCATTCACTCTATTATTTCAAATGGTAAAGGGTATGTTCAGGACATTTTTGGGGGGATAAAATTTTTTTAAAAAGAAGAATAAAAGGTAAAGGGGCATGGTAATATGTGTCAAGTATGAAAACAACTGCTTTTCAAACTGCTGATTGAAGCACTGAGCAGATTAAATTATAGTTAAGAATAGCTTTCCTATTTCCATCTCAACTGACGGAACTAAGGGTTTATCTCTGGGGGAGCTGAGGGAGTGGAACGGACAGATTAAATTACTGTACATGGTTCTGTAGTTCTTAAAACATTTTCATAATTGCCTAGTGTTTGATGAAATATGCAATATCAGAGAAAACGGCAAACATTATAAAACTAGTTCGAGATACAAAAGAACTTACAACCAATGTAATAAAGATATAAATTCAATAGAGGAAACATACTGATGTTATTTTTTTTTAATAGGCCTGCCATACAATCAGTTTAAAATATCAAAGATGTATATATTATAAAGTAAAAAGTGTATAAATCTTACAATATTACTATAAATCTTCAGAGCTTTTAGAGTAACTACTTTTTAGATTTTTCAGTTTCTATCTGAATTTAAGAGCTGCAAACTATAAATATTTTTGTTTCTTAAATGTTAAGTTGCAGTAACACCTAAATAACCATCATATTCATTTTGTTTATGATAATTACTACAAATTATTTATTAGCAATAAATCCTTCTGTAGCACTTGGGATGCAGACGTGAAGAATGCCAGGACTAACTGTGCAACAACAGCACCACCTATCACCAACGAAACACAGGAAAGCTACAATCTCATTATACCAAACTATAAGAACTTATTTACTCTACAAATACCTTTGTAACTTTTAATTTTCAGAATAAAAACCATGGCCATTATAGTCTACATTATTATAGAAAAAAAATAAAATTTAGAAAAAGTCTTAAAAGGTTATTTAACCTTTTAACAACTTCCTCCACAATGTAGTATCATACATTCTCTGAAAACTAAAAATTAGTCTTTTTCGTTCTAAGCACATTTATGCTAAAAAGTGTAACACTAATGTAATCTAACTATATTATAGATATGTTATTTGCCATTTCCACCTACCTTTATAGATTTTAACAATAGCCAAAAGAATAAAAACACTGCCAAGTCAATTACTTTTTAAAAATACATTATTGTAACAGGTGTTACCCAATATACATGCTATTCCTATTAATAAAATTAAAAATGTTTTATATACCATAGAATTTACGTTAAAATTATATTTCAAGTAATACTTCTCACTTTACATTTATAATAAATTATAGTATTCTAAAACAAAATCCACCACTCTGTACTATTATTTCTATATGCCAGAGTTGTAGTACTTAGCTTTTGGTCCTATCAAGTAAAACCTTCACATTAAAGAAGTGTTAAAAAAAGAAAAAAAAAAAACAAATCTGTCTTAGCATACTCACAATGTGATAAAAGTTTGCTATTGTATTTAATGCACAAGAGCTTACTTTGACATAGAAAAACATTTTGAATCCTGAATACACAATACTTTTCAGCAAAACAGCTTTCAAAGCAAACCTAAATGCCCTATTCTAAGCTTCTATCCTAAATCCTTCCTTACACATAAGGCAACAGGTGAGGGGGGAAAAAAAATTTAGACTGATTTTAAAATGCATCCCCACACTCACGGTCCATTCTTCATTACCTCTAAGGTCCTAGGATCTCTGTTTAATTACAACTTGGGGGAAGGCGTTGGGGGAGCAGAGGAAACATTGTATCACATTTATAGATATTTCTGAATATATTAAAATCAGGATTGTACACCCTACTGAAGTTAGAAGCATAATTCTAAATTATCCTATGTGAGTCACAAAATGTCAAACTTCCTCAAGGAGATAACTTTCCAAATAGTCTGTGTGAATTCTACATTACAGTACCATTTCAGAACAGAAACAGTGTTAACAAAGTTTATACAGATATGATGCATACATTTCAGAAAAGACACAGAGGATGGTTAGTCTTTAAGATTCTGCTTTGGCTAACTTTCTGAATAATAATTTTATACAATACGTTCACCGAAAAAATTGCCTTCAAAATAAGTGCCAAAACTGAATTTATTAGGCTGTCAAGAGTGATTTTTTAGGTTTTAAGAAAAGAGTTCATTAAAAGTGGCAAGGAATCTCAGAGATAAGGATTTCATAGATCCTGAAAAGAAGTATACAAATCTATAAGTTCACTTTTAAACCAACAGTAACAATAAATACAAGAGTAGAACTACAAGAAAGGAGTGTACCAAGCAGTATTCCAACTTCCTGGCAACTGTGGTAACTTGGGGAGAGGAGTGAACAGGGAGAAAACATCTCCAAGAGCTCCTCATGGTCTCTGCCTTTGTTCTTATTGGCATTTTAATTTCTGATGACAGACTTTTGTTGTTTGGGGCATAAACCGGACGTACCAGTTTGGAGGCACAATAAGGAGAACAAAGAATGATTTGTTCACACTGCAGGAAAAAAAATCTTTTCCAACCATAGAAAATAGCTTTCGCATGGTGAAAATATGCAAATTACATACCAAACCAAAAAAGGGGTGGGGGTAGTACAACTCAACTCAACTTAGAATCTCACAACTCAATCTAAGGCAAAAGGAAATTACAACAGCTAAGACAATAATATACACACAGAAAAGGCTATACAAGTTCTGGGGGAGCTGCAGAAGTGCTTTCAGAGAATTCTAAAAGCAAATGAAGGTCATCTTGCCCTCAGAACCAAACTTATTTCTAAAATTCTGATGACTTCTCATAGACTAACTATAATATAGAAAATTCAATCAAATACCAAAGACAATAAAAATACTGCTCTATAATGCTGCATTATTAGCACAGAAGTACATATTCACATCCCTACTTTCCCCTATAGATACTGGTTAAATGGATGTTTGAGGTCTGCAAATGACTTTTTTTTTAGCAAACTTTATAGAAAGGTAACAAACACAGAAAAAAATACGTATATCACAAGTATATGTATAACATGAATTTTAAATGTTAATATACTCTGAACCAGGAGACATCAAGAAACAGAATATTATGGATACTCAGAAAGTCCTGCTATATCTCTTTTCAGTCATAATCCCAACTCAAGAGTGACCATAACTACAATCCTGATTTCTATTACTTTATATAATTTCTACTTGTTCATCTTAATGTAAATAGGTTCACACAGTATGTACCCTTGGGAATAGCTTCTTTCACACATTATTATGCTTATGAAATTAATTCACGTTGTTGCATGCAACTGTAGTTTTTTATTCCTATTGGTATACAGATTTCCACTGTATCAAATTAGTACAATTTTATCCCTTGTACTGCTTATGGCGTTGTTTTTATTTTTTTTACTTCTAGTTTTTAGCTCTTAAGATGTCACAGAAGCCAGGCACAGAGGCTCACGGCTATAACTCCAGCTCTTTGGGAGGCCAAGGTGGGTGGATCACTTGAGGCCATGAGTTTGAGACTACCCTGGCCAACACAGTGAAACCCCATCTCTACTAAAAATACAAAAATTATCAGGGCATGGTGGCACACGACTGTAATCCCAGCTACTTTTGGGAGGCTAAGGTGGGAGTATTGCTTGAACCCAGGAAGCGGAGGTTGCAGTGAGCCAAGATCGCACCATTGCACTACAGCCTGGGCAACAGAGCAAGACTCGATCAAAAAAAGAAAAAAAAAAAAGAAGTCAAGGAAAATTGTAAAAGATGTTGAAATGGTGAAAAGATTATTATGTGTTCTGTGTGTTTTTTCTATGGATTACCAAGAGCTCTCTAGCAGACCCTTTGGGGTTATCTGATTCTACAGGGGATCTACACTTTGTCTTTGACTGGGCTACTGTACAATACTCTAAGTTGTAGAAAACTGATAGTAAAGGAATTGATTCTTGTGCACAGAAATGAAAATGAATTTTGTCTGGCAGAGATACAATTCTACAGAATTCCACTCGGTAGAAATGATTATTCCAAACAGTACATTTTAGTGCCAACAGAATATTAACCAAGTTTTTTATCTATTAAAAAATTCATTTCAGTATTCCTAATTGCCTCTCTGTGATAGTCACCTTCTCCTTTGAACTGTAATAGCATCCCAAATCCCTAATCAATGAGTTTAAAAAGTGCAGGATATCTATCCCTTATATAGTTGTATGAGAATCACTGCTTTGCCATTTTGAAAACAACATAATAAAGAATATTGCTGTAATTATTCTCACAAATGTCTTTTAGTAAACATGTATACATATTTCTCTTGGATATATATCTAGTAGAGTAAC